AAGGAGCAGAGCTTATCTAGGTTAAACAAGAGGTTCCCCTTCCCCCCGTTCCCGTGTGTTTTACTTTTGTTGCTTCCAATCGGGTCATCGGGTTGGGTCGGTTTTCATTGGGCCTAAACCGATTTCAACCAAATAGAGTCGGGTTACTTAATTTTTTAATCAATCAACCTTCGGGTTACCTCGGGTTCGTTTTTTTTTTTTTTAAATCGGGTTGGGTTGATCGGGTTCATCGGGTTTTTGAGCACCCCTACCTGGACATGCGCCCAACCCGCCCTCCCCCAGGAATGACCCTAGGGATGTTATTCGGATGGTTAAATCAGTTTATTCGGTTTGGATTTTAATCGTTTTTAATCTTTTTACAACTAACAGATAACCAAACCAAATACAGGTTCGGTTTAATCGGTTTCGGGTTGTTCGGTTTAATCGGTTTCGGGTTATTCGGTTTTCGGTTATAGGTTAAATGGATTAAGAATTTATATTTTTCATTGGACACTTGTTCAAATAGTTTTCTCAAATTCGATATCCGTTGCTTCTAATAAATAACTGTGTCAAACATTTGTACTCAATAATTGACTTGTATTACCTAAAAGCATCATCTACTAAAAACCAATATCTAACCAAAGACATTATTTCTTCATACGACAAATTATGTGTTTATGCCAAAAATTACACAAAACAAAATAAGGTTTGAATCCTGAAGCTATCAACTACAGATTGAACCTTCGAGAGCATAAACAAAAATGAGGCAGATATTTTGGTGACACATAAAACCCCGTCGAGGAAAATCGTAGTTATCGTCAATGTACTATAGACGTCAACTAGGGACATCGTATTTAATCATTGTTCTCACTGTTAATAAATACGTCGTGAGTAAAGTAAATAAGAAATTCCAATAGCAAAGGGTTCTTCGAGAGGAAATGAAAGTAAAGAGGGTCTAATGTCCTTTGAAGTGAATCGCTCTTCATATTTATACTCTTAACCGTTGTAATCATTTCTTTAATACTGTTAATGTCTATAACTTTGGGTTGTGATGGTGTCAATGAATTTTGATCGTTGGTTACATCCTTCATATCGATGAGAGAATGTATGTCTTTATTTTTCAGTTACACTTGATTCCTACAATAGATTATTGTCGTGATTATAGATGATGGTATCATGGTTGTGGATATTATCCTAGTCAGTCGCGGTTATAGAACATCAAGCAAAATGCATAATATAACAAAAAAACCATATCTATCATACGATAAGTAGAATGTGTTATTCTGTTAATTCGGTTAAACCGAATAACAATTCTTATTCGGTTGATGGGACCATTTAACCTCGAATAACCCGAAACCGTTTAATTCTTCAAATCTCATTAACCGAATTAAAAAAAAAATTAACCGAATAACAATTCTTATTCGGTTAATTGAACCATTTAACCCTGAATAAACCGAAACCTTTTAACTCAAATTTCATTCAGTTCGGATGGGTATTACATTTTACTACAATGATTTCAAACCAACTTCTTAATCAGAAACCAATACCTCAGCGGTCGGAGACCAAAATTTCAAGACCAAATAGTCGACCATCATAAACAACAAAACCCAACCCCTACGAAAACACTAAACCATCCCAAAACTATGCAAATCGTAATCACGAAATGTATGTGGAAGTTGTATCCATCACCTTTCGAATCCCCTGCTCGTTTTGTGTATTTTTCACATATCCTTGTCGAGGATATCTCGTATCATCTGGATCGGGATGAGCCCTTCGGTTCTGATCGCGTCTTTGCTTGGATCAGGACTGATGAAATACAACGTTGGTAGACCCCGAACCTATCACGTAACAGTCATGATTGTTATTTTTACTAGTCCGTCTGTCCCAAATTAAGTGTCATGTTTTCATTTTAATTTGTCCCGAAACAAGTGTCCACTTTCAAACGTAGGTGTTCATATTCCAATTCTATGAGATGGATATTTCTACTATTAACGGTAAAATTGTCATTTAGTTAATTAAAAGTGTAAGAATTAGACAATCCTAAAACTGGGTGTCTTTTCATTGTGGACATTTATTCCGGACGGATGGAGTACAATACTACAGAAATCTGATTGGGCTACGTTCAGACGTGGTATTTTATGTACGGAATACATTTTTGGAGGTATATATAATATTTATATAATGCAAAACTCGCACATAGTCTTCACCTTTGGTGAGTCTCTAGCCCTTGGCCTCCAAGAAGGCTGGGATCTACCGACGTAACCCCCTACAGTTTAGGGTTTAACATGACCCTTTGGTTTTGCTTTCGAGCCAAATAAGAAAATGAGTTGACTAAAATGCCCTTAGTATGTAACATTAAGTCCGTAAATACATAGAAAAACATTGGGGATTTTATGGGAAAGTAGGACCGATAGGCAAAAAGTGATTGGAACACGAGGTCATAAAATGTGCAAAGAAAATATTATAGTTGGATAGATTGTGGTGCTATATGATCATCTACAAGAAGTGATGAGCGAGTTACCTGCATGTCACGTGCAAATTCGTATTCATCGTCTGTGTCAACCTTTACTATCATGGCGTTGCTTTCATACTCGACTGCAATCTGTGGGACAAAGAGAACTAATGTAAGAATCATCGGAGAAACGAGACTTCCACTAAACACTATGAATAGAGCAGTCGTTTCTATGAAGACCTCCGGCTTATGCAAAATTTGCAAAAAGGAAGAGAAAGCGTGCTAAAAAGGTTGTGGAAATAGAAGAAAGAAAATAAATCAACATTCGAAAATGGACTTTGAAACAAAGGGTAGTGCTAAAATGAGGTTACAAGTAAGCAACACCGTTCAAACAGAAAACATAACGTACAAATAAAAGCACATAACCAAAGTAAGAAGTTCAGGAGGTCTAGCTGTCGGCTTATCTTCAGTACATGTTTCTCCCAAGCCCTATTTCTGGATGTGTTTAGGGTTTAGTGTTGGTTTCATCTTTTGTACATGTTTCTGGCAGTCATGTCAATAAAACATACGAGGTTCTTAGAACCTATCGTTCAACTTTCTAATGACACTATTACGAAAGCTTGTAAAAAATTTCATCCACTTGGGCTCTTAACATATGACTCACAACTTATACCAAATAATGAAAGATATCATTCCTTTACTTGCTAAATGGACATACTAGTATATCTTTGACCATCTTCTCCACACCAATAAAGGTGCATTTCATGTTTGTATTAAAAAAAAGTAGACGCCACGCCACCCTTTGAAGCACCCCCACTGCACCGGTCTACGGTCATGATGGGGAGGTAAATCAACGCATTTTGTACTATGATTGCTTAATACTTTTAAATATTCTCCGTGTCTTTATTTTTCTATCAACAACATGCCTAGTCACCATCAATCTGCAGAGATATCATTGTTTGTCGTTTGGGATTTGAATGGTAACAGGAACAGAAAACCAACGAAATAACCTGGAGGTGGTGATGGGATCTGGGAAGCGCAAAGAGTAGAGCGGCTGTGTCCTATAACTGGAAATGTAACCTTCTAGTAATTGGGAAAATGATTGCAACAAAGTGACGTGTTCAAAGTTTGTAACTAGCATCACACATCTTTACTCACATCCATATATATAGTAGGGTCTTTTTCTTCTCAAGGGCTCACCATATCATACTCTAGATCAAGAAAGCAAATCCTTTTTAGATTCAGCTGTCACCATTTCCTCAACAAAATAACATCCAAATCTTATGCATATATTCAAAAGTCGACCATGTCCAATGTTTCAAACAATCAAGAAATGTTGTTTCACATATCATTCAGAATTAATAAATAAATAATTGTATTTTATGAGGCAGGAGAAGATGAATTCACAATTACGCCCTTTGGGATTAGAGTTAATTATTAGTTCTTACTGAAATATAGAACATAAGGCAAGAACAACTAACAAGTGCCAAAAAGTTCATGTGTGAAATTTATGATCCGTCAAGGTTTACTTCTCGTTTTCTATGCAACCCTAAATTGATGGTTAGCAGTGGATGTTACAAACAGGTGGTCAACTAACGGATCAGAAATGCAAGAACTATATAAGAAAACTTTTATCTCAAATGATTCGGCACAATTTGTTCATAGTTGAAAAGAAATCAGTTGAATACTTGTAAAGCTGGTAATTTAGCATTAATCTGTTCGAATATGTGCCCTTTAATCATGTTTCACTAATAGTTACTACGTTGGTTTCAAAGACTGAGGATTACCGGTGGAGTTAACAAGAAAAAGAAATGAAAATGAAAATTCATTAATAAAACTAGAACAACCATCAAGCCTTCTTCCCTATTTCTAGCTCCCGTTCCTATTTTGCATTGTTTTTGTTTGTTATCCATTAGCATTATTTTGTTTTGTTACAAGGGATTTTTATTTCATCCTACAACATGCATTTGGAGAATGGTGGTAGCTAATGAGAGGTATGTATCGAAGCTTAGGATCAATAATTCCCACTAATAGACCTACTCCTTCCCTAAAATATAAATACATTGAAGCAGATGCCAAGCACACATATGAAGAAACTGCAGATGAAGATCATGTAAAACTTATGAATTTCCACTTTCATGTGTCGACTTTAGCACTAAGCTAATATGGTTTCAACCTCTCACATGATTGCTTCTCCCTTTATTCACTAATTCAAATTGAAGTGTCCATCAAACATGAAATACTCTTTGACTATTGGTTTATTACGTTATTTTGGTTTGAATATAGTTGTTCCAACTTAAATTATGTATTAAAGATGGACAAACCAATGTGGGAGTTAGAATTAATTCCGGTATATCTACTTCTATGCATGTGGGGAGGAACACTATTCTTGAACAACTTGCGGTCAGGCCTTCTTTTCGTTTTTGCACTATTACGGATATGAAAAATATTGCGAAAAGCAGATTTTGCCAATTCCGCACCAGTCGCCTACTTTCCCAAGAGCTGGCAACAATATTCTAACAGGCTATCTATAATTTGGGTTGACACCATGTGAGTGATAGCTACTTTGCCTATATAATAAAACATTGTACTTGGGTAAATATTTGCAATCTTTTCTTTTGAAAATGGGTGACGGTGATCTAAGGCTTCGCCAAGACTAAACCCATGGCAAATCCTGAGTAGCCCTGAGGTAAATCTTCCAGGGACACAAGAGCATATGTAGATCGCATTCGGACCCGAGTTGATTTTATCATCCCTTTGTCTTTATACACCACGCTATCACCCTTGTGGTTAAGATTTGCAATCTTATCGGACTCCATTTCTAGAGTAGATCAGTGTCTTACTTTGATTATACTCTTCTAATTTGATTTTCATGTTTCAGGTTCTTCTTTTCTAAACCATCATCTTTTGCTATTTCCTCTATTTCTTTGGAAACTCTCTCTTTATTTTGCAGATTTCTCACAAGACAGGGTCTTCATGGGAACAGTCACTCTACTCTTTGAGTTGCGTACATCCCCCTCCCAACATCCCCAGCCCCAAAAAAAGACCCCACATCCGGATAGGATATATTGCGGTCACTTGTTTTGGTTTGGTTTTCAGAAATTTGACACATTTGGAATATATAAACAGATAATATTCTGCATCCCAGATTCAATGCCATCTACCTTTGCTTTTGTATATTTCTTGAAATAAAACCAAAAAATTAAAAAAACAACTTGATGTTATGACACAAATACAGTCATATTAACCTACACAAAACAAGGCATCTCATATATGTAACTTTAATAGCTTCATAATACAAGAAAATTGTAGCCGTACCATTTCAAGTTCTTGAGCCATCAATGTACAAGGGCCACACCATGTAGCGTAGAAATCTATTATCAGTGGCACGTTTCTTTCTCCTTTTACAAGATGCTGAACCTCTTTAGCAGAATACTTTTGCTGCCAACAAAAATCTCAAAGTTTAAGAATATGTATGCATGTATAAATAACCCTGAAAGAAATCTGGATAGAGCTAACACAAGAAATATATGTAATTTATGCACCACCAACATACTTAAAAACCTTCAATTGTAAATCAATATCCATTTTATGTTCTGTTTTGCTCTACAAAAGCCTTCAAAATCAAACAAGAAAACAAAGAAATTGGATGTTGCAAAATACATATTCTCCACATTCCAAAAAGATGCTGATGCACATTTGTTACAGTACCCATCTGAATTCTTGGAATTTGTGGGTAGATATCAATTTTGAAGGTCAAATGGGATATGTTTCAACTTCAAAATTGAAGTGAATTCTTAGAATTCTGCAGGAAATTTGGTTAACTAGTTAAATCTATGACAAATCAAAACAAACAGAAAAGCTGCTGGTCTAGATTGCTACAATATCCAGATGAATTTTCGATTTAGGATGTGGGGTTTGCCCTGTTCTTTTTCATATTTAGAATCATAAACAAAACCCACAAAAAAATCAACAAATATATGCAAAAAGAAAGAAACAAATTCACGATAAGAAGTGAACACGAAGTTGGTGTAGAACAAAAACATACAATAAGATAGTCTTTTCTGAGAAATTTTCCTGTAGGTGGTGTGGCGAGCAACCGTGTTGGTGGTGATTGAATTGAAGATACTAGGGACTGGGTGGTGGTGGAGAATATAGTAACAAAATCTCTTGATTTGAGAAGAGAAGAAGGTTGTGGAGGTAAAAGAGGCTTGGGTGGAGCATAGAACGAAAGGGGTGTGGCTGCGAGTAGCATTGTGGTGAGCTATACGGTTGCTTATCTCGGAGATAGAGGAATTGATTTGCAGAGGGATGGAGGAAAGGGTTTGTAGAGGGTTTTGCAATATCCAAACAAACAAGATTGAAAATGGAAACTTTTAACAGATTGATTCGCCAACATTATCACAAAACAAGAGTTATTTCACTCTATTTTCAGTTATAAGATGGGTTTTGTTCTCCATCTATTATTATTAAAGATAAATATCTTATTTAATTAATTAAAATTAATATATATATATATATATATATATATATATAATTTTAGAATGGATAAAGTATGTTATCTATAACAAAAACTTTTAAAAACTAATTTTTATGTGTGAAGTGTTGTTTATTATTGCATATTATTTAAAATTTAAAATTATAAGTAAATTGTATATAAGTACAATTTACTAAAGCTTCATGTTCGAATTTGTGTAACTAATTGCAGATAAATATAATTAAATAAAGAATAAACATCTCATTTTAAATATAAAAAGTCTAAAATATAATTAGAATAATCATTGAATTTTAACAAACATTTAATTATTATTTTTATAAAAAAATTATATTATTAGATTGAAAATAAAAGAATGCATTAAAGAAATATACAAAAAATAGATAAATTTTAAATAGTTAGTTTGGTGCAAATATCAATTTTTTTCAAATTTTTACGATCTTCATATTTATATTTATTCAAAAATAAAAACATTATCGCTATCTCAAAACCACATAAAACAATATTATAATATCGATTGGGACAAAAATAAATAAAACAAAATATTAAATCGAGATGTATCTCGCTGCATTGTGCGAGTACTCTTCTAGTATATACAAAAGACTGATCTTTGGAGTGTTACATTATGGGATACTACACAGTGGCGGTCCTAGGATTTTTCTCAGGGCGTACCTTTAAGGTGGACCGAAGGTCTGCAATGTCCCGGTTTAAATTCTAAGAAAAGTCAACGCACTTAGAAAATAAAACACATATTCCAAATGAAAATGACTTTTTTTGTAACACGTAAGACATACATGTGTTTTAGCCGAGTTCTATCATTTCAAAAACTTTTCAGTTTTTTGGTTGATTTCGTAAATTTTTGTCAAATTAGATTTGATGATCGTTATACTTACTTTTTTTGTAGCTTTCTAATTTATCCTTTTATCTTTTTTTATCTAGGCTTTCAATTTTGTTTTCTTATGCATTTAAGACGTATAGAGTTCTAATATTAAATATGATACTTCACAATTTAAAATTAACTAACCACATTAAAATAACACTAGGGTTTGAGCAAATGACACTTTAAACAAATTAAAATAACACTTGGGTAAGTTTTATTACAAATATTAGTTTAGTCCCTCCAGATTCAAAATATTTCAAAATACCCTTTTTTTTATATTTCAGAATAACACCATTTAAAACATAAAAAACAAAAATTGATGCATGTAAGTCTTGAAGTCGGGACCTTCAAGAAAGGAAGCACCTTTACATGATTATAACAGTTGTCGTGCCAGCTACTAGTTTGCTATTTTAATTTTGATTTTCAAATATTTAAGGACACACTTAGAATTAAGCGGGTGCACCATTTTAAGGGCTCATTTTTTCCTCTTGTGATAATCGATTGAGCAGGTGCATGGGACCTCGTACAACTCTTAATAGGTTCGCCCCTGACACTACACATGGCCCCTAATTTTTGCCGCCAAATTCAGTTTTTTGTACTTTTATTATCAAATGGCAAAACTCATTTAAATTTTAGTCGGAAAAACAAGAAATCCATAGACCTTTTTTATCTATGAATCGTCTTCATCGATCGACTCCTGGCTCCTTAGTCTTTTTCTCGATAGCAAAATGAATCAATCATGACTCTTCAAATCTTGGGTGAGATTTGTTTTGATTCGTTTATCAAAAAATGACTCTTGTGAATGCGATAAATTTATTGTTCGACTTCAACCTAACGGTTACCAAAATCAGATATAAAAATCAACAACAAATGTACATCCAATCACCCACCAGTTGACATTTATAGTTTGTTAACAAGTAACAATGCATGTTTAGTTTTTTGCTACTCATCAAGACGAGTTTACTTGTTGGTCCCAGCCGGATTTACATGAGTTTATACATAATCAGTTTGTAGGAGGGTGAATACAAACACAAAAACTTTCATTTTTAAAAATTATATATTGATAAAGAAGATCAATACAAATTTTACAGATTGTTTGCGGAAGAGATAAGGTAAATAATTTATCTAAACAATCCAAGATACACACAAGATTACAAATAGAAAAGAAAAAAGACTTGCTACAAGAAATAAAGTAAGAATGAATGTGCTCTTCACTTGTTAAAGTGGGTCTTTCTCTTAGACAGAGAGTAGTGAGAGAAGTAACTTCTAGTGTAAGTTCTTAGTCAGGAAGATGATAACTAAGAGAAGAACCACTCAACTATTTATACCTATTGCATTAAATGCAATTCAGAAGGTACAAAGCACGTGTCAAAATTTTGGAGGAAAGCTTATCCTTTGTTCAGATTTGGCAGGCTTTTGGTTGTATGTGAACAGTCTTCTTTCATAAAGTAGATAAGCACGTTTAGAGTCAAATGAGTGGCTCTATATTGTACTATACTTAGAAATGTATGGGTTTGTTCTTTGCGTGTGGGAGGACAAGATATAAACAATCTTGCTCGACAAGATTCATTTGATCGATGAATACTAGGATGACACTGAAAGGTCTCTTCAGTGTTCGTTGAATCTTGTGCAGAATTTACACATATGTAAACGAGCTTGTAATCACTGAATACTGCTTAAGATCACGAACATGATGGTATCTAATATTCAGCTTCTATCTTCGACTCTACTGAAGGATCTGTGGTGTGAGTTTTGTCTTCTTGAAGTATAACAGTCTTTGAACAATTTACAATACGCGTTCAGTGACCACTGAATAGACTAAGTGAAGATCGTTGAAACTGAATGACAAAAATAATATACTTCAATAGACAAAATGGATCATCATCAAATCAATGAGAGAGAGGATCAACAATCTCCCTCTATTTGATGATGACAAAGCAACATAAAGAAAATTACGTAAGTTATAATAGTAAGAAAAAGGCAAAAACAAAATACATGTCCTTTTTAACTATTTTGGGATCTTTTTCAGTGATACAGTTTACTTACTTTAATTTACTTATGTTTGTAAATGATTACAAGTTCAAGAATAAACTGACATAAATAAGATAATTGAAACTGAAAGCATATTCACTGACTAAAAAGTTGTCAGTGAATGAAAGAGAACTAGAACTCATAGATACTTGTCCCTATTATTTTTTTCAGATATCTTTTTCAGTGACACTGAAGATTTCATTGTATATTCATCATTGGAAAGTAATACAAGTCATTTATCAGTACATGGTAGATCTATTACATATAGAGTATACACTTAAAGAAACGAAAGGAAAACAAGATATTACAAGATAGAAAAATATATATTCTAAGTCACTGAAGTTGATATACCCTGGTACATCTTCTCTGAGCTTCTTTCGTCTTAGTATCTCCTTTCTGATCATGCGATTCATCATCTCACCAGCTAGGTCATTGTCTAACCAAGACCTGAGATACTTCAGATGGTCTATTGGACAGAGGTGGAACTCGGATACTCGCTGGAAGTTGTATTCGCCATCATAGTCAATGAAAATTAATCCATACTCGGGCTTCACATGCATAGTGTTGGGTATGTAAGGACCCTTCACTGGAAGTGTCAGGTTCAGCTTTGAGATATCCAACTTCTTTTGAACCTTCAGGATTTTTTCCAAGGAGAAATTTGTTTCGTGTGCATTCCTATGGGAAGGTCCATCTTCAGGATCTGAAAGGTTTCTTCTTCTTGAGAGTGGCTTCTCAGGCATAGGAGGGACAACAACAACAAACTTGGACACCTTCTTAAAAAGCTCATTTAGGATGTCTTCGATTATTGGCTTATGCTTGGATTTTGAGCACTGAATGGCTTGTCGTATCTTCATCCATTTATCGTAGCTGTTCTATACGAGATAAGAAGGATACTCGGTGATAGCCTATTGGTTCTCTCTGAAGAAGACCATAGAGATGATAAGTCCACCATATTTCATCCGTTTACTGATGGTGACATTTGAGAACCTGTGGGGACTTATTATCTTCTTCATCCTTTTGTTGCACCATATCTATTCATGGCCTTTTAGCGTCAGCGCTCTCTAATATCTGTGTTCAGCTTGTGAATCAGCTGATCTTGAGCCTTGACTGGATCCTTCTTCTTCTTCAGCTTTCTTTTGGCCATAGCTTTGACGGTTATAGATTTGGGCAACTTTAAGTTGTCTTCTATCTGTTGTCATTGAAGGCGTAGCTTTTCTTTGGCCTTCAAGGCTTCTTCACGTTCAACGTCGGTGTGGAAGTCAACTCATCATAACCAGAGGTACGAAGAGGGATTTTTACTCTGTTTTGGTCGAGTTGACTCCTCAGATGAGTCATATGTTGGTTGTTGAGAGCTGCAGATGTTGGAATAGAAGAAATCCTTTCATCTAAAGGACCAAGGGGGAACGTTGGTGCATTGAGAAGAATGAGGCTTCAGATTCACAAGTAAAAGGAACAAATCGGGAGCTCTATGCAACTTTGGTAGTGTTTATCTTCTTGAAGATGATAGCCAGGTTGCCTTCTTTAGCCACTCCTTTGTTCTTGCCGGAGGAGGGCTGGTTCCCTTTGGTTTTTTTCCCTGGGAAGTTGATTTCCTTAGGGAGACACCCTTCTGAGATGGTGCTGGTCTTGGGTGGTATTGGATTATGAAGTCATTGTCATCGTCGTTGTCTTCATCATCATCATTAGCTCTAAGATCCTGTCCAACGTTAGGGAGAGGAAGATCTTCATCATCACTTTCCTCATCACCAGTATTTAATGTAGAGGTGATAGGAAGGTCTTCGAGAATAGCTGGAGCTATCATGGCATCATCATCATCTTCAGCGTCAGCAAAAGCTTCAGCTTTGTTCGAAGTGATGCCATCCTCAGATTGAGGGATAGGAGCTAGCGGTTCAGCTTCAGCAGCAGCAACAGCTTCATCAGCAGTCTCCTCAACAATTTTCTCAGGTTGGTCTTTCTCCCCCTCTTTGTCATCAGCAAGACTAGAGGTGAGATCATTAAG